TCCTGAGAAACTATCTTGTAGATAAAAATATGTAAAACAATAACCATGGATAATTTCCTACCACTTTGTCTGTAATTTGGTAAGCCCCCCTATTATTATATTATCCTTCTTTTACTCTTTAAACTAAAAAAAATTAAAAAAAAAAAAAGTTCCGAAATTGACTATGGTAATGACTGCACTTACCTATTAATTCACTGGAAGTCATTAATTTGTCCATTTTAAGATGGGCATGGTGGTGCATGCCTGTAATGTCAGCACTCAGGAGGCTGAGAGAGGAGGATCACCTTGAGTTTGAGGCCAGCCTAGGGTACACAGTAAGTCCAAGCCAGCCTGCACTACATAGTCAGGCTCTGTTTCAAAAAACCAAAAAGAGGGGGCTGCGAGTTTAGCTCAGCAGCACAGCGCCTGCCTGGTAAGCTCAAGGTCGTGAGTTCGATTCCCGGTTCCGGACTCCCTTCACAAAAAAAAAAACCAAAAAGATAGCCAGATGTGGTGGTATATTGTGGGTAATTCCAGCAGTGGGGAGGCTGAGACAGGAGGACTGCTGCAAGTTCGAGACCAGCCTGGGCTACAAAGTGAGCTCAAGGCCAGCCTGAACTGCACAGTGAGACCCTGTCTCAAAAAGACAAACAAAACCCCCAAAACCAAAAAGAGATGAGCACAGTGGCACACCCCTCTAATCCTAGCACTTGGGAGGCTCAGGCAAGAGGATCAGATTGCTGCTTGTAGTGAGTTCAAGGCCAGCCTGAACTACACAGCAAGACCCTATCTCAAAATACAAACAAAGGCTGAAGTCACTAAACTAACCCAGCTGCCAGGCTGCTTTCTAGGACACAGAAGAGGAAAATCAAACTGAGCAGGTCTGCGAAGGTCTAGAACAAAGGCAAGAATTCTCCAAAAGCAGCCACTATACCTTGCTTTTGTGCAACTGGGGACTGAACCCAGGGCCTTCTCACTGAGGTACACCACAGCCTTTTTTCCCTCTTTTTTTAAATTGTGAGGCACGGTCTTACTAAGTGGCTGGGCTGGAACTTGTGATCCTCCTGCCTCAGCATCCCAGAATGCCAGAATTACAGGCGTGCACCTCTGTGCCTGGCAAGGCACCATACTTTCTACATCACAGGCAAACAACGGAAGGGGAGCACTGTGAAGTTAGAAAAAGCTGTTCCTAGAAGGTTCAGTAAAACTAAATCTACATAAAAAAGAACAGAAAATACAGAAGTCAAATCCCAAAGGAGAAAATAAGAATAGCATTCAATAAAAGCATGCCAAACAAACGTGTATATCATACCAGAAATGCAACTTCTATTTCAAAATGAGCTAAAAAGATATTAAGAATAACATAGCCAGGCATGGGCCTGTGATCTCAGTACTCGGGAGGCTAAGGCAGGAGGATTCCAAGTTTGAGTCTAGCTCCAACAACTTAGTGACTCAGCAAGACCACGTCTTAAAATTTTTTTTAGGACCAAGGATACAGCTCAGCAGCACAAGTACCTCCCTGGCAAGCGCAAGGTCCTGAGTTCAATTCCCAGTACCAAAAAAAAAAATTTTAAAGGGGAGGGGGAAGTACTAGGGAGGTAGTTTAGTGCAAAGGCCCTGGGTTTAATACCTAGGAAAGACAGAGAAACAGAGAAAGAGAAATACATAAGGTGTGAAAGACTTAAATCAGAGAAACTCAAAAACTCAAGAGCCAGGCGTGATGGCACATACCTGCAATCTCAGCACTGGGGAGCCTGAGGCAGGCTCACTGCTAGTTCAGGGCTACCTTGGCCGACAGAGTGAGACCTGTTTCAGAACCACCACACCAGCACCAGCACCCCCATACTCAGGAAGGTATGAGAGATTAATTGGAAATTTTAAATTAGATATCGCCACTTAAAAGTCTCACTGGTTCCTTCATTTCAAGCCACCCCAAATTTGGTGGGGGTGCTACTAATGGGGACAGCACTTGCATAGCATGCGTAAGGCCCTCGGACCCATCACCAGCACTGCAGAACAGGAAAGAGGCCACCCCAAACCTAACTCACCACTGCCCTTCCTGCAACGTCATCACACCTTCCTTGTCTCAGTACGTTTCCAACACCACCTATCAACCTGGACACAGCTTTGACCCCTTTTTAATTCAAGCCCCAATTCAAGCAGAGCTCCCTCAGCTCTGCCCCGTGTGGCTGGACCCTGGACACCTGCCTTCTTCGAAGGAGCACCAGCATGTTCTCTGGGGCATCCCAACCAATAGGTAAGCATCAACTCCTCTCCTCACAACTGAGCCACTGTTACCTCCCCATCACCCGACCTCACCGAACCTTCCCCCACCGGAATCCTCCCTCGGGTCACAGCCTGAGTATCGCCCACCCCGCCACTCAGACCTTCCGTTCTGTCCGCCTGTATCTTCGAGGCCACCGTCCTAGTCCACGCAGCACTTGCTGCTTTCCTCCATTTCCACGTGCTTCCTTCACGGACTTTTCCTCTCAATCCAGCACACAGAACACCTTGTTATAAAATAATTCTCACACCTCACTACGCATAAGCATAGTGAGATCTTATTACCTGCAAACATCTGAGGCCACCCTTCCTCTTCCAAGTTTCTGTTTTGGTATGAAGAACACTGCTTTAAAATTTAAGTATACTCACATCATATTTTTGTTTAAAATGTTTTTCCTGTGTATCACTTCCTTAGAATAAAATCCAAGTACTGTGAACCTGTCTCACAAGGTTCTTTAAGATTTGGACTGAAGACAGGTGTGCTGGGACAAGCTTGTAATCCCAGAAGGCTGAGGCAGAAGGACTGTAAATTCAAGCTTGGGCACCTCAGAGACCTCTCCAAAAAGCAAAACCCAACAAAAACAGGGCTGAGACTCCCCTCTTCCCGCCTCACCTTCTTGCCTTCCTGTGTTGTGGTCACATTAAACACTGTGTCCTCCAGCTCACCACACAAACCATCCCTCTCAGACGACCTCCGCACTCTGCCCTCCCTCCATTTAGAAAACTACCTGGCTAACTCCTATTCACCCTTCAGGGCCCTACTTAAACATCCCCTTCTCTCTGTTTCCAAGCAACCCAGGTCCCCTTAGATGCCACTGCCGTGCGCTCCCAATGTGCCCTAAGCCTGTAACATCACGGACCTTATCAAACATTATCTGTCCTTCCCTCTCAGACCCAGACTGTAAACTCCACGAGGGAAGAGGCCTGTCTTTCAGCCGGTGCTTACACTCTTGGTACAAAGCAGCTTAGAAAAAGGACACGCCCCCTTGCCATCTGGTCTCTGCTCACCAACGTGCCTTTCTCTCTGGTACTCAAGCGGTCCCAAGGATGCTCCCTCATAGCAAACTATTTTCAAGTTCCCAAACACTGAATCTTCTCTTCTGCCTCTGTGCTTTCTTACCTGTTCTGCCTTCCCAAGGACAGGTGCTGCCCAGCTTCCTCTGTCCCATGATGGATTTAATTTCCAGCCACAACTCTCTGGCTACCCCTGCATTTGTCACCAAGCCATGTTATTATAGGGCAGGCTTAAGAGGGAGCGGGCCCCTGACAGTTACATGAGAAACATCAAAATCGTGGCTGGAGGAAAATTTGAAGACAGCCAGGCTTTAAGATTAGCAATTACAATGAAATTAGCAGCACCTGGCCCAGTGGGCCCAGGGGCCACCCACTTTCGAGACCTCTATTTCTCACGACCTTTCAGTTTTCCTCCTTTAGCCTCCTTTGTCCTCATATCCATTCTTCACTATCAGGAGACACAAACTCAGCGCATGCGACAACTGTTGGGAGTTACTTTCCCAACAACAATGTGATTGCCTGAGTGTATGACTTCCTTTAGCTATAAGAGTCCTAAAAATAGGAATAGGTATTTTTGTTTGTGTGTTTGTTTTTGTTTTTCTTCCGGTACCAGGAATCGAACTCATGACCTTGCACTTGCCAGGCAGGTGTTTTTGCTGCTGAGCTACATCCCCAGCCCCTAGGAATATGTATTATAGCGAGCACCACTGTATCTCCAAAGGCTCAACAGAGTCTGAGATGTAGTTAACTGTTCTATAAAATTTATAGAATAGGTCAGGCATAGGGGCACACACCTGTAATTATAGCACTCAGGAGGCTGAAGCAGGAGAATTGCTGCAAGTTGAAGGCCAGCCTGGGCTACATAATGAGTCTGAGGCCAGCCTGAACTACACAGCAAGACCTTGTCTCAAAAACCAAACAAATTTACAGAATAAACATCCGACCCTTAATCCAATTATCCTTGCATTTAACCCCATGAACTCAGGACTCCGATCAAGAAAAGTATAGGACAAACAGCCATTCTGGTGCCATCTGTACTTATTTATCTCATCAAATAAGCTCACAGAAGTCTCCTGTTGGGAAACTTTCTCCCACAGACAAAAAAAAGCTCCACCCATAAAGTGAGAGATACTTTAGCCACAAATCACTCAGAATTGTGTCCTTTCAAAACGTTCACATATTCTTGCAAAAAAATCCAACCGGCTGGCATCTCAACCTAGTCACTATAAAATGAACCTCAAACATCTCGTTAAGGACTTCACAGTGTTCTCATTCTCTTATTTAGAAGGCTATTTTCTTCAAATAGGGACAGATGTCCACTACTACCTAACAGTAAGACACCTATAGCTTGAAAGGGTTTGGCCCAGGTTTCCATCACTCACTGAACAAAATGTTTCTCTATGTTTTTAAGAAACACAAATGTGAGCTGGGCATGGTGGCACACAACGGTCATCCCAGCAGCAGAGGCTGAGGCTGGAGGATTGCTTCGAGTTCAAGGCCAGCCTAGATTATATAGGGAGTCTAAGGCCAGCCTGGACCCTGTCTCAAAAGACAAAACAAAACAACAACAACAAGAAATATAAATGAAGCCTGCACAAGAAAAAAAACAAGTAGGTCAGGGTATACCACACATGTGTACATTTGGATATCGTGTACACGTGTACGTGTTTTTAAAACACATTTCTCCAACTTACACCACAGAAAAAAGAACCTATTACACTCACTTCTGAATCTTCTGCACTTTCATAATCCGAGAGAACGGCTGAAAGAAAAGAGAAATGCATGAAAGAAAGAAAAAAACCTAAAATCATTATACTTATATTCCTGACTAGTTACTGTAGGTCAAGCTAAAACTCTCAATGCTGACATCAGTCTAGGAGGCGGATAAAATTATAGTCCCCATTTACAGATGGGAAAACGGCCTGGCCAAGGGTGACTGACTAGGCCAGGACCACGGCGCCAAAACCTGCGCTCCTAACCACTGCGTCCCAGAACCCACCCCCGGCATCCTCCTCGGTGCGAGGCTGGGAGGGGACCACCGTGGGAAACAGGTACTTGCGCTTCCGGGCGAGACAGCTCCTGTCGGGACCGGGCAGAGGCCGCTACTCACCATCGCCTTCCATGCCATCTTCGCTCTCCTAAGGAGAAGGCATGGGTTAGCTGCGACGGCCCGACGCGGGGCGGGCAAGGAAGAAACGCAAGCGGCGCGCGAAACACTCAAACAAGATGGTCGAACAGGGGGAGAGGAAGGTGAACCGTGAGCAACCGCATCCGAGGGAGGCCTGGTCTCTTCGTCTCCTCCCCCAAATCCCCAGGAAACAGCCGCTTTCCGTCCACAGCAGTTCCTCCCTGGGGCCGGCCCTCCTTCCAGCGGGGTCTGCAGCGCCGCGCACTCGCCCACCCGAGCACCGGGGCCCGCCCGCCGCGCCCCGCCCACTCACACACTCCGACTCCTCGGCGCTCTTGGCCCCCCCGCTCTCCATCCGCCGCAAATGAAGGGCTCCGGAGCGGCCGCCGCGCTGCGAGGGCAGGGAGCCGCTGCCGCCGCCGCCGCTCCCGCTGCAGCTCCCGCCTCCCCGCGCCAAGGAGCCGCCGCTGTCCGAGCCCGAAGCTCCAGACTCCTCGTCCTCCGTGTCCTGGGAAGCGCGCTGCCGCCGCCGATCCGCCATCTTGCGGAGAACGGCCGCCGCCGACCAGCTCCGACGCACCACGCCTGTCGCAGGGGCTGCCGGGAGGCGCGGGCGCCAATCCCGGCATGCCTCGCGGGCTGCGCCGGTTCACACCCTCCCCGCTTTTGAGGGGCGGGGCTGCGTCCTGCGGCACGTTGTCGGGCGAGCGGGGTGGCGTATTAGTGACGTCAGGGGCGTGGCGCGGCTGCTGACTTCCCGGGGCAGGCGCGGGGCCGCAGAAGCCGGCCTCCCGCAGCCTCCTTGCGTCCTTGGCCCGGCCATCTTGGGCTTTCCTGGGGGCACTCTTGTCCCAGCGCCAGTGAAACACGGGAGCTGTTTCTATTTCTTGTTTCCCCCTACGTTTGAGGCAAAGCATTTTATGAATTCATCTGCTTGACAAAATCCTACATCAAGGTGAACCCCCAAAGCCACAGTGCTGCGTCAGATTTGCCACGCCAGCCAGAGTGAAGAAGCAGTTGTCCGCAGTGAAGACAGCGCACCCGCTGCTGCAGCGTGTCCTACTCTTTCCTCTCCCCGCCTCCTGTGTCGTCCGACCCCAGCCAGCACCTCTCCTAGAGTGCAGGCTGGTATGATGCTACTTTTACCGAGATATTAGAACCACTTTAAAGAGATGATCAGTAGAAACCGGTCTTTGGTCCAAAATCTTGACCCTTGGTATGGGGTACCAGACAGACATGCTTTGATTATGGCAAGGGATCTGGCAACAGTAAAAGAAAGTGTATTGTCTTTGGACCATAACAGGGACATAGAAGACACATGAGCCAAGTTATTTGTGCACCTACTGAGAGCACATTAATAATGTCAGATAAAAGTCAGTGATACTGCCCAGAATTCCATGCTTGTATTTTTATAAATGGTATGGTTAAGGATCCTGTTTATCAAATTTGTAGACAATTTGGAAGGAATTACGAATGCCTTCAGAGACTGAATCAGGATTCAAACAATCTCAGCTGGTCAGACAGGTGGCTGAATGTAACAGCTTTTTAACTCCGGCTCTAAAAACCAACGGAGTTCAAAATAGCGGACGATTTAGGAAGTGCTGAAAACAATCTGGAGAGTCCAATCGATTGGTGCCAATACAGCTGCCAAGCTTAATGTCTAAATAAAGAAAGGGACAGTCAGCCACTCTGTCCTTCAGTCCTTTTGTCCAAGTCCAGCTTCTGAACGGACATGGATAAACTGTTCTGTCAGCCAAAGGCAAGTGAAAATTCAGAATCCTTTCTTTTGAGGAACAACTGAGATCTTCATCCAGATCTTTCTCAAGATCTCTAGATGAACTGAGGCCTTAGGTATTGCCACAGTCATCCTAACTGTCAGAACTTGAGCAAAAGAAGGGATCAATCTTTTTTCATCACCCTGGAAGGCAAAAGCATGAACAAATGGGTTCAAATTACAAGAAGTGTGGGGTGTGGTGGCACACACCTGTAATCCCAGCACTCAGGAGCCTGAGGCAGGAGGATCCTTGCGAGTTCAAGACCAGCCTGGGCTACAAAGTGAGCTCAAGGACAGTCTGAACTGCCTAGCGAGAGCCTGTCTCAAAAAGACAAAAATAAAATAAAGTTGCCAATTATGTGTGAGGAAGCACTCTGGACAAAGAGGGGTGAAACATATATAGCACTCAGACACAAAATGTGTACCTTGTACAAAGGGGGAATAATGTGCTATTTTGTTACTGAAATAGTTTTCTTCCAATCTTTCAAGTATTTAGGCAGAATTATTTAGTGTTTCCCAACAAATTAATAAATTGAAGCAGAAGTTCAAAAATTAACAGCCACAATAGTTTATTTACAATTGAACTCTTTATAAGATATTTACAAGACAACCAATTTTACACATCAGAAATGGTATCAAAAGTATGAATTACAACACAGACAACAATATGAAATGGGCATAAAACAAAGCTGAAGTGGACAGACAAGCAATTTCTCTTTAATTTATTAACACTAGCTTAAACTTTGTTAAAGAAAGAAACAAAGAACTATGTTTTAGGAGAACTGCAGGGCCTTCAGTTGAAGATTGAATTTCACAGTGTTATATCCCATGTAGGGAAAAATAAGATTAATTTTCCCCCCACGCTCTAACACACTGTAATTTCAACTCTTGGAACTTCGCTCCAACCTCCTTCTCAAGAAACCACAACATACCCGAATCAAAGGAGAACTGATCTAGAAGCGGGACAATAACATAAGAGGTCCTCAGGGAAAGGAGAACGGAGGAAAAAAGAATCCACTTAAGTCTGGCCAGATAGCACCTCATGGATTCCTCTCAGTCTAAATTAAGTTCAGTGTCTGAGGAGTCCCTTGTGTAGGGCAAAAACATGAAAATTTGCTAACCATACCCAAAATTAGGAACTTGACAAAGGCTGAAATCGAGGAGAAACAGCAGATCATAAAGAGACACTGATTGGGGTTCTTCTTTTTTGGGCACGTTATAAAGGAACATAACGTAGGTCAGCGTAGGAACACGAAACAGCTTGTCACGTTAAAATAATGGAGAACAAAGAAAACCTGGCCCAGTTTTTCTAGAAATCTTGTCCTCAAGGTGTGAGATGAGAGCCCCTAGTGGAATAAGTCCTATTTCTATGTCCTTGCTGCAACGAAGCTTACAGCACTTTCCTTTACAGAGAGCCCCCTCTCCTAAGCAGATGGAGTTACAAATGAAAACCCACAGCCACACTCACACACGCTCACACACACGCACACACAAAGGAGAAATAAGAGCAGCAAGATCATCCAAGAATACTACACGTGCTGCCGCAGTAATTCCTTTCAAAGTCAAACCCAGGGAGCACAGATCAACATCTCACAAAAAGCTTTAGCAGTGGGAGGCCCCTGAGGAACTTTTCTTCTCTTCCCACAATGGTAACCCATTCTCTCACGCTCCACCAATGGGCCGGCCGCACACCCTACATACCTTGGCTTCTCCTCTAAAAGTGCTAATAATCTGGGGACATCTTCTCTTCAAGGATAAAAGCCCCTACCTTCTAGGAGATTAGACCCCTACTTGTTTTCACACAATAGTCCTGAAAACTAATGAAAGGCAATTCCTATATAGTTAAGACCAGAGGTCTTGGCTCTATTTTCCTTCCAGATAGTTAACCGGGATCTTACACTGAGACCAGAATGGCCTGGGAGTGCTGTCCTGAAATTTTTTTCTTTCTTTTTTTTTTTTTAAACAAAACAGGCAAGGGAGGGAGACCAGGATGATACACATACAAATCTATTTTTACAAAGTGAATGGAGAAGCTCCTTAGGTACAGCTGTTTGTTTCAAGATGTAGACATCTGCCAGCCAAAGGAAGCACGCGTTTCTTCACTCTCGGCCCACCCCGCCCAAACCTCACCCTACCACCAAGAGCCCAGCCACGAGACAAACCCCAACTAAGGGACACTCGAGAAGTGATGTGACAAGGACATCCGGACGGGCCTGGCACGCCATCCCCAAAGGACAACTGCATCTGTTTGGGGCTGCAGACTGCCTCAAACTAACATCCCCCTTTTCTTTTCCAGAGATTTTATTTTCCAAGGAGTCGGGGAAGAACGTCAGTTACCTATTAACTAAGAAAACAATCAACACCTTTCCCCACTTGACTAGGCCGAGGAACAGCTTTAAGAGAAAGCTCTCTTTTTAGATATTTGCCTACCCAACCTTGGATGTCTTTCCTGTTCTGAGAAGATGACTTGCTCATCACTTCACTCCTTATTCTTCATCTGGTCCTAACGCTCATGGTGAGATTTTCTGTTTTATTTTAGGGTAAAAACCACTACACCCCAATTACCCGGAGCGAGCAGAGTGCCAGGCAGCCACAGCTCCTGTGTCTCAGGAAGGACACTCTGGTACCCCTTCGATACAGGCAAATGCATAGATGCACACCCTGAAACTTCCAAACCTGCCATCCGTCAGATTTAGCTTGAGAGCTCACTTCCCCTGAAAGGGAAAAGAAATCCCAATCCCCCTCCATAATTCACAGTTAGCCCAATGAAAGAGTTTTTGTGAGAACAAAACAAACCAAGACGTGCGGGAGGGCACTGTCAGCAAACGGTAACATACGTGAGCACACAGGTCACACATACAGGTCTCTGCCACCCTCTGGGAATGGCATGCTACAACTATCTGAGGGTTCTTGCGGCACAGCTATTTCCTACACGTCCGGTGAGGGGTTTGCTTCTTCTGGATCTCCAGCCTGCATCGGCTTCGCTCATCCAACCAGGGCAGCTCAAAATTCCTGATAAAAAGGGAGGAGAAATCAACTTGCGTGACTAGAATGAGATTAACTCCAAAGAAAATATGCCCCTCCCACTTGTGGCCCTGACTCCTGTGTTTCAACTAAGGGCTGTCCTTCCTGCCTCAAAGCCATAGCAACAGTCAATGTATCACTGAGGTGATGGAACAATCTACCTCACACTCAAAAAGCATCCTTTTTTTTTTTTCCAAAAAGCATCCTAACCCTGGGCTTAGGCATCTTATCACTGTAAAAGCTATTGCCCATATACCTTCACTTTTATCAAAGAATCATGGCAAGCTGGGCGTGGTGCCACATGCTTGTAATCCCAGCTACTTTGGAGGCTGAGGCAGGAGAATTCCAAGTTCAAAGTCAGCCTAGGCAACTCAGCAAGACTCTGTCTCAAAATAAAAACAAAAATGATTGAAGGCCAGGCGTGGTGGCACATACCTGTAATCCCAGCACTCAGGAGGTTGAGGCAGCTGTGAGTTCGAGGCCAGCCTGGACTACAAAGTGAGCTCAAGGCCAGCCTGAACTACACAGTGAGATTCTGCCTCAAAATAGCTCAGTGTAGGGTGCCCCTAGGTTTAGTCCCCAATACCAAACAAACAAACAATCACGATTACCCTTAAACCGCCTGGTTCTACTTTGAGTGAAATGCAGGTTATCTGAGAGGGAGGAAGGAACTTTTGTACTTACCGGGGAGTTAATTTTGGCAATGGTCGTCCAAATGCTACAACAGGCAAGAAGGGGGTAATCATCAAACTTTCAACTATGGAGAAAGCCAAATGGGACCAGATTAGTGCCACAGATGACATATGTCTAGCAACTACACCAGCTCCAAAGTACAATCTGCCTATGCACAAGCAGCACCCAGGAACCTTATGCCCTTTTTTTCTTTGAAAAACCTGCTTTTTTAGACAGCAAAACTTACCATCATCTGGCTCAGGGAAAAATGAGGTAACCTCAGGCTCAGATTCCTGAATTCCTTTCTTTTTATACATTCTGAGCTGTAGTCGTTGTAAAATTCTTTGTTCCCTGATCCTCTGAATATCCCACCTGGGAAAAACCAGACAGACAAAACAAATAAACCTAACAGTATTGCTTACCCAAAACCTGCGCTATAAAAGAAAGCCCCGCAAACCTAGTGGCTAGCAGGAAGCCTGCAGACAGCTCTAGATGGGGTTGGGGAACAGACTGCACGGTGAGGCCGGAGCTTGTGAGGCCCAGACAGGCTGGTGGCCCACAGTGCACGTGAGGGCGGGCACACATGGAGAAAAAGCAGCCATACGCGTTCAGCTGCGACCACCACTGCCAAGGAGCCAACTGGGACGCCAGGAATGGAAGCCCTTAAGAGGCCGGGGCCCCGCACAGCCTGAGAGGGAGATGGGGTCCAGGGCTCAGGTCCCAGCAAGGACAGCTCTGGCCTTACCTTTTCCTTCTCTTCTCATCCAGCTCTAGTTTTGCGTGCCGCTTCGAGAACACACTATCATCCAGGTTCTGTGGAGGAACAGGGGAGAGAAGCCGTTCATCACCATGTTACATGCACACACTAACTTCAAACTTCTGGGGACATAAAGTCCTTCACTTTTAGGTTCTATCCGAGTCTGTCAGCTCTGTGGGAATCCTGTGAACCTCCCTGTAACAGAATCAATGCAACGAAGGAGCCTTCACACCCGCAGCCTTTGAGGTTCTCGAATTTCAAAATCATTCTTGTAACTTTCCAAGGTAAAAGTCACATCAAACTGAAACACCCCTCAGATTGCCAGAAGCCCTTTCCACCTCCATACTTTACAAGGATCTAAATTCAAAATATCAAATTTTAAAACCAGGTGTGGTAACCGGGCATGGTGGCGCACGCCTGTAGTCCCAGCACTCGGGAGGCTGAGGCAGGAGGATTGTTGCCAGTTTGAGACCAGCCTGGGCTACAAAGTGAGCTCAAGGCCAGCCTGAACTGCAGAGTGAGACCCTGTCTCAAAAAGACAAAAACAAACAAGCAAAAAGAACAGGTGTAGTGGCACATAACTGTAAACCCAGCTGACGAAGTCAGGAGGCTAAGACAGGATGATCACAGGTTCAAGGCCAGTCTGGGCAACTCAGCCAGACCTTGTCTCAAAATAAAAAATAATGCTGCATATGGTGGTGTACACCAGCACTCAGCTGGCAGAGGTAGGAGGATCACTGTGAGTTCAGGGCCAGCCTGGGTCACACAGTGAGTTCAAGGCCAGCCTGAACTACATGGCAAGACCCTGTCTCAAAAATAAATAAATAGGGGGCTCGGGATGTAGCTCAGTGGCTAAGTACCTGCTTGGCAAGCACAATGTCCTGAGTTTGACTCCCAGTACCCAAAAAAAAAAAAAAAAAAAAAAAAATACATACTAATCAAAAATGAATAAGTAAATAAAATAAAATGATATAAGGGCCAGAGATATAATTCAGTGATACAGTACCCCTGGGTTTGATCCCTAGTTCTGGGAAGAATAAACAAAACTTTTTAAAGTCAAATGAGCGTAACATACAAAATTTTTGTTGCTGAATAGTATACACTACATTTTTTACTTAGCATGAAATCCACTTTTGTTTTGAACACTATCTAGCTATTTGTTTCTGATAATCAATTAATTACTCTGGGTCTCAATTTTTTTATGTACAATGTGTGATCAAAAATATGGTGAATGTTGCTGCCAGGTGCCATTCAATAAAAGGGAAGATTGTAAAAACTTCCAATTTAAACCAGGTATGGTGGCGCACTCCTGTGACCCCAGAACAACAACAAAAACCCAACTCATTCACCAGATCCAGTAGTGGATGACTTCGGGCTCTTCCCCAAAGTCAAAATGACCATGAAATGTAAATGTTTTGAATCTATACAGGACACTGAGGCAGCCATCCCAGCCCAACTAAAGACACTCACGAAAGATGACTTCCAGGACTGCTGCAGAAAGTGGGAAGAGTGATGGGACAAGTGTGTTTGAAGGAAGGAAGAATATTTTAAGGGAGATTAATGGAAATGCGCCTTTTACTGTCATAAATTTTTTGTTTGTTTTTTTATTTTTTTTGTTTTTTTCTGGTACTGGGAATCGAACTCACGACCTTGCGCTTGCCAGGCAGGCGCTGTGCGGCTGAGCTAAATTCCCAGCCCCTTTTGTTTGTTTTTTGAGACAGAGTCTCCTTATGAAGTTCAGGTTGGCCTTCAACTCAGTTTGTAGTCCAGGCTGGCCTCAAAGTTGCAATGCTCCTCCTGACTCAGCCTCCTGAGTGCTGGGATTAGAAGCGTGCACCACCACAGCTGGCTTCACCAGTATTTTTTAATCACATCTTGGATTAAATGAAGAAAATAGAGTATATAATCCCTCAAATGCCTTAAAGTGCTATTTAATCCTCTATACATAGCCAAGATACACCTCTTTTTTTTTTTTTTTTTTGGTCTTTTTGAGACAGGGTCTCTCTGTGCAGTTCAGGCTGGCCTTGAGCTCACTTTGTAGCCCAGGCTGGCCTCAAACTCGCAACAATCCTCCTGCCTCAGCCTCCCAAGTGCTGGGATTACAGGCATGCGCCACCACGCCCGGTCCACCTCATCTTTTTTGAGACAGGGTTTCCCTATTATTGCCCAAATTGGCCTTGAACTCCTGGACTCAAGCAATCTTGTTGCCAAGTAGTTGGGACTATAAGGGTGCACTACCACCTCCAGACTGGACACCCCCATATTCTCTCTGTTCAACTTCTTACTCCTCGTGACAGCTCCTGGGTTCTTACCTCCAAAAGGTCTGAAGGATTTGGGTCCCTTAGAGGTTCTACTGAGTGGTCCCTCCAAGAAGGAACTGAAAGAAAAAAAGAAAGAAAAAGAAAGAGAGGAGGGGTGGAACCACCCTTAAATCCAACATCACACGACCCTCCAGCTACTCCCTAGGACAAGAGGTCACTCCCCAACACGACAAAGTTACCAAGTGATAGGAATCCATTCTATGGCCTTGCCTGAAGCCATACTCAGTGTCCTTGCTATGGTATAAAGAACCTAAAATGCATTGCCGTCTGCCCAACTCAGGATCACAAAACACCCTAAGCCAATACCTGACCATTCCTATAACGGACGCTACTGCGGTTCCTGAAAAACAACTGAAATTGTCGTCATTTTGGTCTATGGGAGTGGAATCGATAAACGCCACGGAACCTCACTCTCCCACATCTAACAGATGGGGACCGTGGCTCCCAACCATCCACCGTCCCCCCGCCCCCGCCCAGGCCCAGCCAGCACAAATCCTATTCTACTCACCAGCCAAGACTGAAGTTTCTCCTGCAACACTTGATGGCATCAGACACCCTGAATAATGCAGGAAAGAAGAATCATCTCAGTGTAAAAAGAAAAAAAGCCCATACCCAAAGTGGAGGAAAGGATCATCACTGAAGTTCTCAGTAGGAAGCCATTTTGGTTTTTGAGTTGTTCTTTTGAGAATTTCTCTCTGGGGGAGGGGAAGAGGGAACAACAGACAAAAGAAAAGAAAATAAGCCCACCACTTTTTTTTTACACTGAGACGACTTCTTTTCTTCATTATTTAGGGTGGTTTCCCTGCAACAGTTGATGGCCAAGGATATCAAACCTTAAACTCAGAACATGGCAGGTGAGTAAAAGTTGACCCTATTTTTCAAATAAAAGATCAGTGTTCTCAAAACTTACATATGTAGTCTTCTTCAACACCCCCTCCTCCCTCCAAACAAACTACGCCTTGCTGGTCCAGCCTGAACAACACGCACCGAGACTGGGGCTTCCTTAGAACAAGCCATCGACTTCCTCTTGAGACAGGACTTCAAGAGTAGGGGCTCCCACACGGACACGGGTAACTCAGACTCCGCAAGGGATCGGGCTCGCCCCGGTCACACGCCCTCACAGAGTTACGCCCGCAATCTCGGAAGGGTCGGCAATTTGCCTGACTAGGGCGGACAGGGTTTTCAGAAAGAGCCAGTCACACAGAAGAGCTCCGGACCAAGCCATTTCCCCACTCCGGATGGGAAGTTGCTTCATGGTTTCTCTTAAGTCGTTACACAGCATTGCCACAGCAGCAAGAGTTAATCCTTAAGAATGAACCTGTTCAACTGACTGAACCAACAAAAAGATCAGCATCTACTTCAGGGTCCTGCGCTATCATGGGCTTGTGTGAGGCCTACCGACCGTTAGATAATTCATCTAGCTTCCCACTGAATTTTGTCGCCAGCACAACCAAACAAAGCCTGGAGAATGCGCTCATCTCACTGGAATGGATTCCCATCCCCATCCCTGCTAGGCCAAGGCACTCCAGCCTGAGGCCCTATCCAAGAAGGCTTCCCGCCACCACCCCAGAGCAGCCCGAGTGACTGTCACAGACTACCAGGACACCACTGCAGACACAGTCCAGTTACTGGCTGATGTAGGAGATAAAGGAGGATCTCTGTGTGGGAGCCATGAAGAAAAACAAAACAAAACAAAAGGGAATGAAGACCAACGTCCCACCCCCCACGCCCTCCCCAAGCGGCTCAGATATCCCAAGGTAGTCCTTATTGTTTGAAAAATAGTTTGTAGACCATTTTATTTAAATATATGAACAATGAATGGGCTACTGCAATCCAAGTAAACTCTTCACATTTTAGAACCTTTGTGAAGTAGAGGAGATAGAGTAAGACTGTCGGTCTTTGGCAGATTCCTCCTGCCCCCAGACCGGGACACAGAGATACAGATGAATGTTTATATAGTGGAAAGTGGAGGCCCAGGTGAAAACGCCCCACCCCAAGCTGGATCCCCAACCGAAAATGCCCACTGGCCTCTGAGAGCCCCAAAGACCGCCCTCCCAGGTTTCACACAGTATCAAGCGCGGAACAGTCGTGCACGGCACAGTGTGAGTTCTATGCATCCCCAGCACAGAAAACCCTTCTTTCAGAGGGCATGCAAGTTGCCGGAGAACACACCCGAGTCTGGTGCTCTTGTGACGAGCAACTTACTGGCAAACACATCTCCCAGGTTGTAAGCAGGCAAATACATTGAGCACACTTTGCTGTGATTCCATCTATTTGCAATGCCTGCACAGTGTCTGTCTCTGGCTGTTAACTTACGCGTTCTTGACAGAACTCTGCTTTATTGATTGCACTTTTTAAAAAATGCCAAAGGCATTTTCACTTGTTAGCTTGACCTCCACCACTAGGGTATAAGAGCAAGTGTTCTCTATGCCTTACTTGCTACAGTCTCCTCCTTCTTTGGAGAGGGTTCCCGTAACGGTAACGGTGACGGGGGAGGCTGGTGCCAACGACACAAGTACATTTCTGTGGTGGAAAGGTATGGCAGATCTTCGGTCTCGCTGGGGAAGGCTTTCTCCTTGGGATGGGCGCTGGGTCCCTTCTGGGGCGTGGAGAGTCTCGGCGGGGTGTCCACTGAAGACCGGGGCTTTTCTGGGGTTTCTTGGCTCCTCAGTTCACGTCTACAGACAGTTTCGGATAAGGAACCACAGGGTTCCTCTTTAACGGGTGAGTGCTTAGGAGTTTTTGTTTTGACTTTTGAAAATTCAGGAGCCAGCTTTTTAACAGGAGTCTTTCTTTCTGTATTTCCGAATGGGGTTTTCCTATTAGATGGGAAGAAAATGTTATAAAATTGATTCGTGAGTGAAATCTAATCTGAATACATTCTGGGGCAAGATCACTAGTTCGTTCCCTTGCCCCAAAAATGACCAGTACTCAAGGCACCTGATTCTCTGATACTCATGTGGAAGCCGTGAGCAGAAGCAGCCTTGCAGTTCAAGCATACCGAACAGGCCTTCAGTAAACTGTGGTAGTGGAGATCGAATCTAGAACCTTGGCACTGAGCTACATCCCCAGCCCTTTTTGAAACACTTTTGAGACAAGGTCTTGCTAAATTGCCCGGACTTGGGTTGAACTTGTGATCCTCCTGCCTCAGCCTTCCAGAGTGCCAGGATGACAGGCACGTGCCACCACAGCCAGGAGTAAACAACTGCTGAACAGTACGTTTCAGTGCTTAATACTCTCTAATAATACCCTGTTACCAACTAGATTAAGAAACGCTTCTAATTTACTCAAAGTCCTCAATTTCTTAATTCAAAGTCCTTCATATTCAGAGTTCTTAGGCCTTAATTTACTCGAAGTCCTACTCTGTGGCACCGACTTTATCCCTGAAAACCAGAAACTGGCCTCTTACCCCCAACTCTGGAGCATGTTCATTATAATCCCTAGTTTTTTCTTGCTGCCCGCCAGCTCACTCTCCTGTCCCTATTTCTCACCCCTTTGACAGCCTCAGTTCTGTACTGCAAGACCATCTCCTTCACGTCCAGGGCACCAACTCTGAATACTCTTTACTACTGAGGACTTGCAAAGCACGGTTCTTATCAGTGTTCCATGCCTACGTACTTTAGGGCATTGAATTCTGACTTTTCTAAAGTTTCACTTATCCTTACAGTCTGATTTCTTGCGTCTGAGGACAGTTACATGTTACTTTCCTGTGTCTTCCGGTGCCTAACCTGAGCTACTCTACAGTTTGAAGAAAACACAGGCGTTGCATCCGTTGCCCGTTCTTCCTGGTGTACTCTGCCCTCTGTAACGAGTACTGGACCGCAGGCTCCTACGGGCTTTTTCACAGGCTGCAAGGGTGTTTCAAGACAGTTTCTCAGCACAGAAAACTACGTAATTTTAGGCTGTGGTTGCTATAAAACCAATCCATAAGCCTCAATCCCCTAGCCCTGGTCTGTGGTAACAAGGGTCCTCCTCACGTCCACACAGCACAACCGCGTTATCGGCACACCTTTTGTGTCCCTTTCCACTCCGCCCACATGAGAAAGGCTTGGGAGCCAGAGGCTGGGACGTCTCGGAGAGCTCTGGCTGGCACTCCAGTTTAATTTTCTCAGAGAGCTCTGTTTCCTCTCTCTCTTCAGTCTCATAGCCCTGAAACAGCTTGTGCCTTTCTTTCTCGTTATCCTTCTTTACCAGCTGCATCCGTCTTTCCATACGTTCAATCCGAGCAAGGAGCTAAAAGAGAGAGTGGCAAAATGCAGACTTAACACAAAAAAATTAAACACAGCCGTTTAGCTCTCTTAGGGACAACATGGTCTCCAGCATCTTTCTGTGGCCCCTATCAATGCAATTCTTTTTTCTCCCCGGTGCCAGGGATCAAAGCCAGGACCCTGCGCAGGCTGGGGGAGTGCTACGCGTCCCTGGTATACCCCCAGCCCTGTTCAATTTATTTTTAGTCGTCAGACATTAATCTGAATGGTTTTCCTGATGCACAATAGGGAAGACAAGGCACAGAGCTTAATTTCAGGGGCTAACCAAGATGGGAGGAGGCTGAGGGGAATGTGCAGTTCACTCTTCTGAAAGCAGACCTGCTCCACTGGGAGGGGCCAAAGCGGGTCTTACTGCCATGGTCTTGTCTCTGCTGCTGCTGTTCAAGTAGCTCATAGTCAGGCTGGGAATTTCCAGATTTAACCTTACATGTGTTCTTCACTTTTTTATTTTTTGGTGATGCTGGAGCTAGAATTCTGGGCCTCACATACACTAAGCAAAGCCCTCTGTGCTACACCCCCAGCCCTATCTCCTCTTAAAGAGGTCCTAGGACTGTCTAAATCCTGCCCTCTACTTCCACCCCCAATCTCTGTACACAGTGGCAACATCCAAACAGTGCTCTACAAGGGGACCACAAGCTCACACAGTGTCACCAGAGTTACCTGAAAGAGGTATGTTTGTACAGGGCAAGGAGCACTTCTAAGGCAATAAACACTCCACGTCAAAAGATGAGAACAGACATCCACAATATACAGCCCACAGACATGACCTATACACACTGCCTTACATTTGAAGTATGGAGAAAAAGATAGAGCTACTTATCTAAGTACTGCTTAAAACCAAATGTCTTTCATTCTAATTAAAAAGTACTACATACTCAGCCAAAATGGAAGTCTACTGCCACTAAAAACTTTACATTAACTCAGTTTTGAGAAAAGGTGCTACCTGCACCACCCTACTACAAGGGTTTTGTCTGCATGAAGGCAGAGCTGTTGTCATCCACTGCATGGATTTCAGCAGAGGCCAAACCACCACAGGAATAAAAGAAACAAGCTTCGGCCTCGCTCACACTGCAATACAGAGCAGAGGCCCTCACTGCCAAGTTCAAACTGCTGCTATCCTTACCTCACCCCACGGCCCCTGCTCAGGGAAGCCTGCAAAGGGCTCAGCAGCACCTCCACCACCAGCAGGGAAAACCCCTTCTCCGCCAGGCTCCCATCCCATCCCTTCCTATCTGTTTTGATTCGCAGCCTTGGCATTACTTAACCACTGGTTGTGGGTGACATTTCCCGGATCCCTTCTCCCTCACTGGCCCTCCTCTTCCCGCCCCCTGCCCATGTAAGGAGATGATGTGTTGCAATTACAGTACCATCGCACCCCTAGACTGCGGTACAGTGGCTGAGCAGTGCCACCTCCATGTTGAGTAACTTCCACACATCAGCACCGCGGGGGTTTTTAATGAGAGCTGCCCATCTCCCGCTCCACCTTGCAGAACGCACTCTCCAATAAGACAGCTGCCTGGTGCGATTCGTGATTCATTTGGAAGGCAAACAAAATGAATAGCCCTCTGCTCCCTCGCTCAGCCCTTGGCGCAGAGAGAGAGAGAGACAGAGACAGAGACAGAAACACAGAGAGAGGGAGACAAACACAGACAGGCAGACACGCAGGCACACATACACACACACATACACACACACAGAAGCTGAGGGAGACTGACAGACAGAAAGACAGGGACAGAGGCTGCTGCAGCTCGAAGAGGACAATTGCAGAAACCATGTTTATTTTTAGGCAGCTGAAAGGTGGCTAGCAGGGAACACCCCACTGCCCAGTTTCCCAAGCAGTACATCTAGTGCAGAGGTGCCCTGACTCCTGCCGCAGTAGGAACAAGCCAGGGTAGTCATGCTCCTGACAAATACAAAGAAATCCTAAACGGCCTACACTGAGGTTCTAAAACAGGAATGGGTGCTACTTGGTGCATGGGACGAGCTTAGTTTGCCCTGATGTCTGAAAATTTTCCAGTTGCAAATACCACGCTTATACTAGGCACCTGCCTGGTGGGTCGTGTTTGGAACCCAGGTCCCTATGACAAACTCCAAAATCAAAGAAGCTAATTGGGTAACAGCATTATGAAAGATGAAACAGGACTCCACAGAAAGTCACCTCTCCCCTCTGCCCCCTCCGAGGCCGAGCCCCTCCCTGTCTAGAGATGCTGCAGCAGGCCGGCAGCTACCTGTCCCTCCCCTCCCAGGGCACTTCCAACGCCAGAGCGCTTTAATTTAACCCCTTCCACGCGTCCCATACAGCTGCACGCCACTCCTTCCTTGCTAACACCTCACAAATCAGCTCGGTCCCAACTCTAAACGTCTTTCCCACAAGTCTGGGGCTGTCGTTTTAAATTAACCCTTTGGGCGCCCGAATAGGTTTCCCCCCGCCACTCCCGCGGCTGCCCTTTAACCCTTCCCTCGGATCCAGCGAGTCTGTGACTCGGCTGCCGAGGGCCCAGCACCAAGGACACCGCTCCTGCGCGGGTGGCCGCCCCCAGCCCTACCCGCAGGGACCCCGGCCTCCCAGGCGCCCCCTCCCCGAGCATGCGCACAGCGCCGGCGGCCCGCACGCCGCTTAACCCCTCGCGTACCGTGTCCCGCTCGGACTTGAGCTCCTCGATCTCCTTCTCCTTGGCCTGCAGCTGCTGCTGCTGCTGCTCGATGAGATCCAACTGCAGCAGCAGGATCTGCTTGAGGCAGGCGGCCTGGCTGGAGGCCCCCGAGCCGCCGCCGCCCCCGAGAGGGCTCTTCCGCACCCCCTTCCATCGGGCCTCGCCGGCTGCC